ACCTCTGAGAGGGAAACAGCCCTCCCGGCATATTCAGCTCACAATCCCAAGATTGTCTCCAGGAGCTGGAACACTCCCAACGCAGGTTGGTTAGAGAAAGTTGCAGCGTTGTACTGCCAGTGCCTTGAAAATTAAGCCAATGCTTAAGGAAAATGTGAAACGTGGGGCCAAGTCACAGAGGGAGGACAGTGGTGCGTACCCCAGCCCAGGGCAACAACCCCCCGTCCGCAGCTCCGCAGGGTGAGGGGAGAGAGGGAGAGAGAGGCTGGCTCGTGCGCCCAGGGCAGTTGGTGCAAGGACAAAGCAGGAAAAGCAAAAGGTGGGAGACAGGGAACATGCTCCCCCCACCCCCAAGACACAGAGGGGTTTGACTTGCCTATACTCACACCCGTGGTCCAGTCCTGCATCCTGCACAGCCCAGAGGCACCAGCAGCCAGCACAAGTCTCCCACCCCAGGGTGGGGGATTTAAATCCCCTGGGAAGCCCTCGGCCGTTTGCCAGCTGGGCTGATGATCACAGCTTTCAGCTGGGGGAGGGGGGAAGCTCCTCGGGAAGGTCACCCTCCTTCCCCAGCCCTGGCCTCCCCCCCCCACAATGTGGGGCTGAGGGTCAAGCCACCCACACGGTCACCCCAGTCCCAGCAGCAGCTCCGAGGGCGATGGAGGCTTGGAAAGATTTTGAGCATCGAAGGAAAAGGGGTGCAGGGGAGGGTGATGGGTCAGGGCTGTTGGGCAGCCAGGGCAAAGCCGGCGGAGGAACTCTATTTAACATACTTTATGACAGTGATCAGCAAAGGAAGCAACATTCTGAGGGATGCCAGCCAGTTTGGGGGGATATTTTAAAGACCACTGTGTTTCCCTCCCTGGATTACATCCCATTTTGGAGGGGTGGGTGCGTGTGTTTCATTTGCTTTCATGAAATGAGAAAAAGAGCCATCGCACAAAACCAGCGAGCACATTTCAGCCCGGGTAGGAGGAACGCACCGTCCCCCGCTCGGCAGCCTTCAGGAACAGTGACACATTTAAGTAAAACACCAAGGAAATTGTGTCAGCGGGTTAGAGTCTTACAAGGAACAGGAGCCAGCAGGCGCCAGCCCGTGCCAGGCGCTGACCAGGGCCAGGGGAAAGGGAAGCCCTGGTCATGCGGCTGCCGGGGGCTGCGGGCATCTCCCTGTCCTGGCAGCAGCCTGAGCTGAAACCCCGCCAGCAGCACCCTGGGAGTCACAGCTTCACCTCGGAGTACTCGATGGACTTGGATGCCACGGGGCTGGAGCAGGGCCAGAAATCCACTTTCCTCTTCTTGGGGTCCACGTTGACGTAGTCTGCTCCAGTCTTCATGTTCTCGTAGTCCCCCACAGAGCCCGGCCCGTGGCCTTTCCCCGGGAAGACCAGGGATGTGTAATTGAGGTTTTCATTTGAGCAAGGGCCCTGCAGAAGCAGACACAAACCCCAGGTCAGGCACCAGCATCCACCTGGGGCAGCTTTGCCCCTGAACCCGCATCAAGGCATGCAGCCCTTCCAGGCATCCAGTTGTGCCCAGGGATCTCCCTGGCCCCTGGGGATGCTTCCCTATAAATGGGGAATGCTGCCTATGGCCGGTAACAGCCATCACCCCGGCCACACTGCTGGTATTACATAGAATCATGGAACCATGGAATGGTCTGGGTGGGAAGGGACCTTAAAGCCCACCCAGTGCCACCCCCTGCCATGGGCAGGGACACCTTCCACTAGACCAGGTTGCTCCAAACCTCATCCAGCCTGGCCTTGGACACTTCCAGGGATGGGGCATCCACAGCTTCTCTGGGCAACCTGTCCCAGTGCCTCCTCACCCTCTGCAGGTAGAATTCCTTCCCCATGTCCCATCTCAATCTACCCAGTTTCAATGTGGTTTGATGCATTTGCTCCCCCTTGCTGCTCCATGGGTCTCAAGCCTGGCAGGAGCCGTATGGACACGGTGCCAGCACCTCCATGGCTGTGGTTGCTTTTGGCAAAGGCTCTCTGCCCACGGCCGTACCTGCGGGCAGGAAGGGCTGCTGTCCGAGTCCTCCGAGGTCTCTGAAGACGTGTCGCTGCTCCCTTAAAAACAGGAAACATTACCACCTCCGTGGCTACTTGGGGGGTTAAAGGAAACAAATCATCAGGGAGAAACAGCAAGCCCACTCGAGGTTGAAAATTGAAAATCCAGAAAGCATCAGTGTGTTCCCTCCCCTCCCCATTCCCCTGCCCATGGGGAGCCGGGCGGGGAAAGCTCAGGGGAGGCTGGAGGCAATGGGAATTGGAGAGGCTGTGGAGAGGCTGCTGCTCCTGCCCTTCACCCAGCCGCTGGTTCCCTCTTCCCCTCAAAGACCAGCACACCCAGGAGCAGAGCATCGCACCAACGCAACGCCCTACGCTCACACCCACGTGCCAGGACAAACCCCTGTTGCTGTAGGGTCCCCCCTTACCCGCGTAGGCTGGTCGTGGCGTCCCTTCCCCTCCCGCAGAAGAGGCCGGAGGCTGCTGGGGCTGCGCTGCAGGGCAGCTGCTCCCCTGCTTCTCGCAGGAACGGCTGGCTGCAACCGAGAGGCCGGTTAGCTCCTTGCTCCAGCCCCAGACGCCGGCTGCATCCGATGCATCCCCACGCGCCATGCCACACAGACCCCCACCCGCTCCCCAGCATGGCCCCACGGCAAAGCCACGTCAGCGCAAGCCGCAGGCACGGCAATAATTATTATTATGTATTGGAGCAGGCAAATATCTATCAGTTCAATTACTGAGATGATTAAGTGCGTGCCCGGTTCTCCCGTGGTGAAAGATTCCAGTGTTAAATCATGTCATTGGGGTCTCTTCCCATGCAAGTTCAAAATTAATTTGACCCCCAGGTCCAAGCAGAGCCTGTTGATGTACAAAAGTGGGCAGCATGAAAGATTTTCCAGCTGGAAATTGTAGCTTCATCCGAATTAATATTCTGCAGATTGATTCTGATGGTATTTTTCCACCACTTCGCTAACGAGCAATAAGAGAAAATGTTTTTGAA